TGAACAGATTGGGATAGGGATTTTCTTAGTGGATTCTGACATGGAACTTTGTTGGGAACCCATTAAGCCATTCCACCAATCTTTTTCGTTTTCTTCTTATTTTCCGGTAAAGCTTTGAGAGACCTAAGTAATGGATGGATCACGAAATAGAGAGGTCAAATTTGGAGATTAGCCTAATTAAGTGGTGCACTCAGACACGTTTGTGCTCTACACACTCTTCAACAAATTGTTACGTATTTTGTGCTATTATATTTGCAAAATATAGGATTAGCATGCATGAGCAATTTTTATTATTATTCTAGATAAGTATAAAATAATATTTGTTCAAAAATAATTCTCAACCATTTGATATTGAACGCTCACAACTTTAATATTATTGGTTCTAAAACTCTAAAATTTAAAGAATAACAACAATTTTTTTAACACTAAGATTACTCGATTTGTGCACAATGAACAAATTATTATTATTACAATGTAACATTAACCAAGTGCATTTGAACATTTGTTATATAATTGATTTTGGATGCAATTAAATATAATTGAACATTTATAATATATTTAAATAATTACTATAATTTATGGATCTAATTGAATTAGATTAAAATTTTCAAATTATAGTCTTGACACATAGGAGTTATTATTATTATTATTATTACATGATTATTTAAAATATATTTATAACATTTTTCAATTCTCATAATTTTATTTGTATTGGAATTTTTTTTCAAATATTTATTTAAATATTTAAATTATTTTGTTTGGTTTAAAGTTACTTTTGTTTATAATAATTAATAATACTTAAAATTTAAACTTATATAACTATATATTACAATTTATTTAATAATATATAACATGAGAAATTAAGTTGTAATTTCATTATGTTTTCCAAACAAGTAAGAGTAATTACATTTTTATACACTTACATTATGGTGTTTAAATACACCCTTAACGTTTTGATAAATATGGGGTAAATATAAAGTTATATATATTCAAAGATAACTCTTAGCTAAGGTCGTTTAATCATTAAAGTCATTTGATTCGTAGCAGATACACCCTTAATGTTAACTAAAGTATTTATTTAGTTACTAATCATATTAGTTAAGGCCAATAATTATTATATTCTTAAACATTGTAAGTCATGGGCAAATCACACCTAAATAATTAAATAAACTAAATCCTCACTATAAAAGAGACAAAAATATTCAAAAGGTATATAATTAAGGTTGTCTATTTATCTGTGAGTGCTTCCCAAGGTTAAAGGGACAAAAGTGTTTCCATGGCATGTGATATATGATTCCCATCACAGTTATTATTCTTTTTACAGGGAAGTCTCCTGTCTTGTCTCTTAGTCACCCTCATATATCCTTTTGTCTTTAAGTTTGTCAATGAACCCTTAAAAGCAGTTGATCATTTGTGATTGATTTCTCTCCCACTCAAACTCAAATTATGTCTACTTCTTCTTCATGTTCTAATTGGTTACTTTCTTACAGAAAACTCAAGTTCTTTATTAAAATCCGTAGGTATTTGCAGTCCAAAGCCGCTACAAAGCGATCACGTTCATCGTCATCATCGTCGTCTGAGAATTCAAACAAGTTAAGAACAAAGAACAACAAAGATGAAGCGGAAGATCGTCAGCTAGTTAAGGAGAAAGAAGCCGAGCTCGATGGTTCCGCGGTGTTGCAAAAATCAGTGAAGAGGCTTCACTTTGGGAGCTGGGAAGAGAAAGAGATGGCTGTTATAGTGATCGAGAAACTCGCTAGAGAGGACGATAAGGCAAGGAAGCTGATGGTAGAACTCGGAGTTATAGATATGCTTGTTTCCATGGTGGCTACTGAGGTGGTCAGCCGCCATCGGGCCGCCATCAAGGCGTTGATCGAGCTTGCTAATGGAACTTTTACGTAAGTTTTCCACTACATGCATGTATTCTTTTCCAATTCATGGCATTGATTAAACATGATCATAAATGGCTAAATGTTCATAAGTAGATTCTTCATGTTCTTGAAGATTTATGTTTAATTTTCAATCTAAAAATTGTTGCAATGAAAAAGAAAGTTGTTCATGAGTCACATGTTAATCATAATATTTCATAGGATAAACAATCTATTTGATCACCCATCTATTATTTAGTTTATGTTTTTGTCATCCAACGGTTATTTTTTTTAAATCATACATAACATTATATTTTGATTCTATTTTGCTCACTTGTCGTTAAAAGAATAATGATCAAATGCCTATTTGGTTATCCATATATTATTTAGCTTATGTTTTGGCCACCCAACTATTATTCTTTTAAAATAATACAAAATCTTACATTTTGGTCACACGCGGTTAAAAAATTAAGTGTGATGTTGATGTGATATTTTTTTAATTATTTTTTCAATCATGTCGTGGCTTTACCTTATGATGACATGTTAGTATCACCATAAATATTTTAACAGCGGGTGACTAAAACAAAACCAAAACATAATGTCTGGTATGCTTTTGAAAAAAAATAATAGTTGGATGATTTTGAAAAAAAATAATAGTTGGATGATCCAAACAGAAACTATATTAGGTGATTGATAAAATAAGTAGTTTACCCAAAATATAATGGTGATGCTAACGTGATATTTTTAAATTATTTTCAATGTTGATATGCCATTATCCTATGATGACTCATTAACATTATTGTTAATTTACGTGTAATCAAAACAGAACTAAAACGTAACATTATGTATAATTTTAAAAAATAATAGTTAAGTAACCAAAATAAAAACTACATAATAGGTGGGTGACCATATAGAAAATTATCATATTTCATAACAATATGGTAACATTTTTTTCTCTCTTGGATGAACAAACAAGGCATGATTTTGCAGAATTCTTATCATCATTATCTACTCTATCAAATACCCATGATTCTCTAACCAAGCCCGAGATCCTCCAATTTCTTATCGCCATTCTCGAGTCACCTTCTAGCTTTGAAACCATGGAGCTTTGTCTAGGTGTTATACATAACCTATCTGCAGTTTTACAAAATGCTGGAGTTTTGGTATCTAATGGAGTCGTCAACACGCTCTTGAAGCTGTCTTCATTCAAAGATCTTTCGGAGAAAGCTCTAGCGGCATTAGGTCATTTGGTGGTGACTTTAGTCGGGAAAAAGGCAATGGAAGATAGTTCAATGGTACCGGAGAACTTGATCGAGATCCTAACATGGGAAGATAAACCCAAATGCCAAGAATCATCGGCCTATATTCTGATGATTTTAGCTCACCAGAGCTCGACTCAGAGAGACAAAATGTGGAACGCCGGGATCGTTCCGGTGCTTATTGAAGTGTGCTTAGTGGGGAGCGTTTTAGCTCAGAAGAGAGCAATGAAATTGTTGCAGTGGTTTAAAGACGAAAGGCAAGCGAAAATGGGACCTCATTCTGGACCACAAACAGGGAGGGTGGCAATGGGTTCACCATTGCATCCAGAGGAGGCTTATGAAGGGAAGAAGATGATGAAGAGTTTGGTGAAGCAAAGTCTTTATAAGAATATGGAAATTATTACTCGAAGAGCCGATGGTGGTGGGGGTGTTGATTCTTCTATTCTCAAGTCATTGGTCCTCACCACAAGCTCTAAAAGCTTCACCTTCTAAAATGTTCTTTTTGGTCCTTGTAAAAATACTTTGGTGATCAATTTTGGTGTTTTTAAATTGGGATGCAATTCTTTTGCTAGTGAAATGTAATTATAACAGTTTACTAGTAAATAAATAACCTTTCTACTTGTTGAGCATCTGGGTTTTCTTTAAAATTTTCTGTTTCTGCATGATGGTTATATGTTTTCTGTTTCTCTTTTTAGATTATGAAATTCTTCTTCTTTGGCTCAAGTTTGTTTATTTTTGTGGGGTTAAATTGAGATTGGTACTTAAAACTTTTAGCAAATTCTGTCTTCATAAATTGTATAAAATTTTGATCAGTTGGGTTCTCCGGTCATCTTTAGTTCATCAAATCTTTGAATCAATCCCTCCATATTTGACTGTTGAATAAATCTTTAACTAGATGGTTCTGGTTTTCTGCCTGTTTTTGCTGAAACCATATTCCCTTTCCTGGACTTGAACTATGATCCTGAGCATTGCTGGAAATATGATGTTCCCTTCATCTGTGTCTGGGAAATAAAGTTCATACTAGTCGATGAAATGCGTCTTCTTTGTACTTGGAACTTGGAAGGAGAATTTCCCTAACATAATTCTTAAACCACCGTGTTTCGCAGTTTATGTAACTTCCTGGTGGATGGATTAAACATGGTTTTGTGTCCGAAAAGTGAACACATCCATGTTTGAGCTCAATATGGATGGCAAATCTAAAGGCATAGCTTGGGACATGGACATCCGTATCACAGATGCTTCGTTGAATCTAAAATTACAAGACATGGGGTTTTCTGAATCGGATTGGAAGATTATTAGATAAAATTAAAATGGTTTTGTGAACAGACACAAATACAAGGTTCTCAATTCACGAGACTGGAATTTCCGTGGGTACAATTGTTTGAATAATGTGTGAGGAAAAGAATTTAGTCATGTAAAGTGCAGTAAAAATTATTTTTTCAATTAAGGTATTTGTTACCGTATTTAGTGGAAGTCGTCTAAACTAAACAACAAAATTTGAAAGATGCATAGATCATCCGGCGACTTCTCAAGTTGCTCCTGCTATCGTGTATGTATGAAACTTCAAGAAAACACCCTTTAATCTATGTGATTTTCCAAAATCGATGAGTGGTTCAAACGTCTTTTATAAATATTATAGTAAACATCCTAATTAAAAAATAATTTTACATTATTAAAGCAATTTTGCCATTTCCATGGGTTGGAATTTAACAACTCGATGAATGGTCCACAAAAGCTCAAAGGATTATATAGAAAGAAAACGTTTTTATTTTTTATACACCTTTTTTGTTCACAAAAAAATAGGAAAAAGATTAAATTTTTAAAAAAAAACGTTATTTTGCAGAACACAGAACATGTTGGAAACAGCGGGGAAATGGCGGCCCCCTGTCTTTTGTTGGGACCCTCTTTCTGTAAACCCTCTCTTCCTCTTTTCCTTCCCATCCCAAAAATTCCCCTCCATTTGCCCTATAAAACCATGGCTGCCCACTGCCATTGCTCCTCTAACCCTCGACCTACGCAGCCTTCCTTGCTCGTCTTCTCAGGTACCTTTTCTCCTCGTTTTGGTTAATAAACATTTTTAATTTAATTAAAAGAAGTCATCGATGTGGAGTTTTTTTTTCTTTCATATGGTGGTTCTAGGTGGGACGGCGTTTAATGGCGTTGTGGAAGAGCTTAAGAAGTTAACAGTTCGCGTTGCTCATGTTCTTCCTGTTTCTGATGATGGAGGAAGTACTGCTGAGATTGTTCGAGTTCTCGGTATTTTTTTTACCCATTTCTAACACAACTCTTATAGCGTTAATTTAGAAATTTTCAGCATATAATTCTCAGTTGACACAGGAACCATTAGTTTTTGAAGTAGTATTGACATGAAAGAACTTTGTTTGTACTTGAATTGCTTAATAAGATGACCTCGTTTTTTTATTAGATTGTGTTTGGTTATTGTTGATGGGAACAAATTGGTTTCGTCTACCGTGAGCAGTTCAACCCTTCTGGTTTGGGCTTTGAGTTGCGGCTGTTGGCCGGTGTATGGATAAGGGGGAGAATGGATTATCATGAGGAAGAAGCAGGGTCAGCCCGTTTTTTATGGTTCATCTTCTTTTCCAGTCTTGATTGAGTTTTTTCATAGTGGTCCTTAATGCCTGTGTCAATCGTAGGATCATCATGACTATTCTTAGGCCATTAGGTTAAGTTGATCTAATGTCAAAATTTAGATTTCGTTCTGACTCATCATGTGAGTTTGTCAGAGTTCTTGTCTATGCGTTGCAGTTGGCCAAAAGCATGTGTTTGTAGGATTTAGGTTGTTTGGAAAATTTCTTTGATTTGAGATAAAAGAGTGTTGTTGAATTAATGTTACAGCTAACATATATATAATTTTTATTTGAAGTTCAGTACGTTATTCTTGATATTGAATAGGTGGTCCTGCTGTCGGAGACATTAGGTCAAGATGTTTGAGATTGGCTGATGAAAGCACTTCTGAAGCTCTGGCTGTCCGAAGATTGCTTGGTCATCGTTTGCATATTAATCCACCACAAGCCAAGTCAGAATGGTAGTGTTTCCATCATAATTTGGCTATAGTACTTTCATTTTAAAACTATTGATTAGACATTTATGTTAGGATTGATGAAGCTCAAATTGATCAACCGAATAATTTGCCAAGAGGGGGAAATTGGCTTTTTGAGTTTAGGGAGGAGTATAAAGATGAAACAATTTACACAAGGATTTATAGTGTTCGACTTCTCAACCAAGTCTACATCCACTATCTAAGCTCCTCACTTAGGATTTTCTAACAAATCCACTAATTTGTTCTCTATTTTTCCTGGACAAAGAGATAACTTTACAACTCCCTAGCTTTTCAAAGGCTAAGCTAGAACTAATCCCCTTTACAAAGATTAAAAGAAGTAAACAATAAACCTCACAAAGGAAGGTGTTTACAAAGATTAAGCTCAGAAGAAAAGCAATTAAAAGATTTGCAATGAGCTCAAACACATATGTACAAGAGTAAAGGAAAAATAAAGAGTGAAAGAGTTTTTCTCTTGATCTCTATTTCTTGGATAGGTGTTGTCCAACCTTCTTCAAGTATCCTCAACTTGTTTTTATATGTTGGATTAAGTTTGTGGTCGTTTCTAGCCGTTGATGTTTTAGAGCCTTTGAGATTAATTTTCTGCAAAATAAAACTGCCCAGATCTCATGGTATCGATACCATTGTGTAAAGTAGTATCGGTACCCCTTGAGTATCGATACCTATTTTGCATTCTGGAATTTGAGTAATTTGGAAAACAACTAGTAGTTAGAGAGTATCGATACTTCTCTTACCTTTGGTATCGGTACCACATGAACAGTATCGGTACTGTTCATGTAGTATCGATACTATAAGAACAATATCGGTACTACGTACTCAGAAAAATATTTTGTGCTCAAATTCTAGTTTAATGGATTTTGAATTATTTTTGAAAACTTTGAACAAATTCAATCAAGTCTAAAAGCATTTTACCTTAATTTGTTATATCAAAATATTATAAAACATAGTTCAACAATTTAGATTTCCCCCCTCTTGTGCAACAAGTTTTGATAATTTGATTGCTGCTTTTCTTTTTCGGTTATGCCATTTTCCATATACTCCATTTTATTGATAAATGCACTTACATAAAGTGGCACTTGCAGGCACTGATACTTAAGAGTCGGAAGAAGATTCGGATAGAAATTCTTTGTTAACTATGCCTTTTAAACTTCATTCTAAACCTAAACATGGAAACTTATTACAAATTTGAAAATTCTGTTACTATTTTTTAATCTTATTTGGATTTCTTGTTACTTATCAATATATATTTTATTATGTATTATAATAAATTTGTTGATTATCCACTTTTAACTCCTATTGCTTTGGATGTTTGTATTCTGAAATTTTTTCATTTACTTGCTCGGTGGTAAATATGGTGGTAGTATTGGGTAATAGTGTGCTGACTTGAGAATTTGACAGGTATAAAATATTGGAAGAAGAACATTCTCTATGGGAAGGTGTATCAAAACCATACAGGGAAACAATTCGAGCTTTTCTGGCTTACTTTCAGAACGAGGTTAGGTCTTATATTATTACTGTCTATACCAGATTTCATAGCATTTTATCTATTCTTCTTTTTTCATCAAACAGATGCTTTATTTTGCTGTCTTTGAGACATCTAAAGGACATCATCCGTATCAAATAATACTTAACTGTTAATCACTATTTTTCTTCTGTAATCTGCTGCATATCCAATGTTTCATCACTTGGTTGAAACGATGATTGGAATGGAGATTAATCTATGATATCCTTGAATACAGATTCTGAGAAGGCCTAATGAATCATTCTGTTTCAGTAACGGAAGGTACTTTCTTTTGTTATATTTATACCTTAACAAGGTATCCATTTCAGTTCATAGAAATTCTAATTGCTTCTAGAATTTCCATGCCTAAGTATTCATGCACTGTCAAGCATTTGGTATTATTTGGCCTGATCTTGTAACTTGTAACTGATATAGAAAGTTGTTTCAATGATTCTTGCCATTGGATTCAATTTGATTTACAATGCATTTCAGTACTACTTTTTATTTGGTTTTGTGTTTTCCTTTCGTTCCGGTATAAGCTACTCATTCTTTTTTGCTTTGCTGTTTGTTGTTTCTTCTTGGCATGGTAGTGTATATTCGTCTCAAGAGTACTAATTCTCATGAATATGTAACCAGTATTTTTCTTTGCTGTTTGTTGTTTCTTCTTGCCATGGTAGGGTAGATTCGTCTCTAGAGTATTAGTTCTCATTAATATGTAACTAGTATTTTGCAGAAATTATTACAATCTTAGTGATTTCTTCTTCTATGGATTGCAGCGTTGGGAATTTTTTCTTTGCAGGAGCACGTATATTTTTTCAGTCCTTAGATGCTGCAATTTTTTTGTTTTCACGGGTTTCTGATATTCCAGCAGAAAGTTTCATCCTCCCAGTCATTTCAACCAATGACAGGCTCACTTTAGGATGTGAATTATGGGTACATATCACATTCCTAGCAAATTATTCAATTCAAGTCTCATTGGACACATAGTTGGTAGTTCATTGATCAGATGTGATATTTTCTGATTTATTCTGGTGTTACTGCCCATTTTTGTATGTTATGGGCATGACTGGATGGCATAAGAATTCATCCTTGAAGAATTAAAACCAATACATTTTTACTTAATAATTTTCTTCTTCATAACTTGTCTTATGCAGGATGGGACAATTATACGAGGCCAGAATGAAATTTCCCATCCAACCAATGTCAAAGGACCTGTAGATAAGGTTTGCCAAGTTTAATTCATGATGAAAAGTCTATGATATAGGTGTGGACTAACTGTTGCATTCCAAATTCAACTTTCATGAATAAGATATAATAATAAGAGCGTTGATCACTGAGATGCCTTGATTCTCGCATTCTCTTTGATTTTAAATCTCAAAGATGCAAGAGTTATAGTGGTTGAAAAGTGAAAACCTCTTGACCTAGAGCCAAAACATGTTATCACTGTATTTGCTTTGGACTTTATGTAATGGTGTGGGGAGGGAGGAATATGAGAAATCTGGAGTTTTTAGTGTTGTTCTGCATCTGGCATTTGAAATGAAACCTGAAATGTTGTCTTTTCTGAATTTATAATTACATTGTTCAGGTTTACTCTTTTTTTTTTGTTCTAGTGAATCTAGTCTGATTTTGTACTGGAGTTGCACCCCCTTATTTCCTATCATTTGGTGTTCCTGAAAATATATTAATGTGGAAGTTGAAATCGAGATGTCACACTAAAGAATAGACTTTGATTTTGGAGTTTTAAAATCCAATCCATGTCACCAATATTCCTTGAAATGACCATTAGTTGGTTTCTGAATGTGGAAAGTTTCTACTAATGATGTTCAATTTTTACACTTGTTCATGTTTGAATGCATCACGTTTAAACTGAAACCAATGTTCCATTAATAAAAAGTTAATGCATAAGTTTTCTATTGAGCTTCTGATTAGTTTCAGATTTATCAAGTGCTACATTCTTACATATAGGGAAGATCATCAGTTCCAGCTCTTCCATCACGAATAAAAAGGGTATTCTACATGTCAAGCGAGGGTACGAATTCACTACATGAGGTATGTGATAGATCCTTTAGTTTTTCATTGATGCCTTTCTTATGTCTCTACTATAATTTTTCCTACTTTTAAATTGCATGGATTGTAATATCCACTGTTAATTTTGCAAATTTGTGTTCTTAAAATGACTGCAAATTCTACTTGACCAGGTCTTTCCAACTGTAAACCCAACTGTTCTGGACCAGTTGTCCAATGTGGACTGTATAGTTTATGCTATGGGATCTCTCTTCACTTCCCTTTGCCCATCATTGGTAACACTCTTCAATCTTATAATATCTAACAAAGACATCCACATACCGTTTTAATGTGCATTACACTTTTATATATGGTAAGACATACACATAACCTGTAACTTACATAAGTTCTCGAATGTGCAAACACAAAATATGTGATTCAAAGTTGCCACACGATGGTAGTTCAGCTGCCACTGATACTGGCAAACATTCAGAATTCTTTTATTTCTTGAGAAATTTCTTATCTAGTTCAAGATATTTCCATCTGTTTTTGAACTGTTAATATATCGTTTGTCATTCTGTTTAACTTATCTTTAGGTCTTACTCGGCATTGGGGAGATAATTTCTTCTAGGAGCTGTCCTAAGGTATCAACCTATTGAGCCATCAAATATATTATTTGATATATAAAACTGATTTGGCTCCTTCCACTGTTAGGTACTTCTGTTGAATGGTTCTCATGATAGAGAGACAAGTGGCTTCTCCGCATCTTCTTTTGTTACAGCTATTACAGATGCTCTGAATCGTACATATGGAGGTTCTCATAATTGTTTAAGAAACCTTGTGAGTGAATAAATTTAGTTACAGTTGATAACTATATTGAAAACATTTTCCTTAATTAATGAACGAAGTACAGCATGGAGAAGACTCGAGTACGAGTACTCCCATCAGCCAATAATATAAGGAAAACAGAAAGAAGATATGGTCATTTTATTTACTGCAGTTCATTCTTTGTGCAGCCAAGTCAGTACATCAATACAGTTTTGGTGCCCAAAGATGGTGAAATCCCCATAGACATCCAAAGCTTGTCTTCCCACGGAATCTTTGACGTGGTATGTTTGCCTACAACAATAATCCTATTCTTATCAAACCAATTTCTTACCATTGCTAATGGTAACTGACTCGTATGGTCACTCACCGAGTTCTATTAAGTCAGTTTATTAGAACCAGTCCTAGAACTAGAAAACCCCCTGCTATTTCCTTGCAGGGAATCTCTTTCCTTTCCGATCTCAAGCATGCGATCTTGATAAGTTCTACAGTCCATATACTCGAGTGATTCTTTTTAAAGACGAAAAACTAGTCTACCAATGTGGTGGTCTCATTTCGTATGTATTTATATTCGAAACTTTAGTACGTAATGACTAAGGTCCTCCACAACCTAAACACTTAAACAGTTCTGACTTCTGTCTTGGCATTTATTTTTATTCACTAATTCTGTATGATATGATAACAAGCTGCATGAAATATGGTTCTCTGCAGGTGGTGGTTAACTCCATACATGACCCAAAAGTGGGCACAATTTTTGATCCAAAGTCATTGATAAATGCTCTTGGCAATGTGGTGAGCAGATACATGAGGACAAAAAATTAATTATGGATATGGAAGGAGCATGACGTGTCTATATACACGTGGACACACCACATCAGCCATTAATTTGCTGCACATGGGCGGACCAATTCTTGATGATGCTATAGCAACTTTAAATTGTTGAAAGGGATAGCATGTATGTACATATTTAAACTATTAACAAGGTATCCAGTTTAAGAAGTGAATATTATACACATATATTTATATGCATCAAAATGAATCATTTAAATTGCTGTTTTTTTTTATTATTATTACTTTTTGATGTCTGATAATCACAAGTCTCAATTAAATTTAGAAACGAATCAAGTCAAATCTAATTTCTAGAGTCAAATTCTATCTATAGCTCACATAAGCCGCACAAGGCGAACCAGGCGACATGGGAAGCCATGAAGCGACTCGAGAGTTTAGGGTTTTTGGCTCCTTCGTAGGCTGGGAAGTAGTGACATAGGGAATGTTTATGTGTATCTTGTTTTACACCATTAGAGGTCGTGCTCGTAGGAACTAAGTGTTGCGAAATACGACCGTCGAATAGAGTAAAATCGTAACTAATAATTTGATAAAATAACAAGATCTGTTCTTTGATGCTGGTAATCCTTTTCAGGTTGTGTGCTATTCCGATGCTAACTGGGTAGCATCAGATGAAGATAGCAGGTCAACCACATGTTGCATTTACCTAGGTGGTAATCCCATTGCCTGGAACTCAAAGAAGCAAAGTGTGGCTTCAAGGTCCACCTGTGAAGCTGAATACATGAGTCTAGCAAATGATGTTTCTGAGGATAGAATAATTGTTGAAAAAGATTGGTGTCTTTATTATTGGTAAACCAGTTGTTTGGTGTGACAATATTTCTACGGTTTCTCTAGCAGCAAATCCCACACATCATACTCGTATGAAACATGTGGAGATCATGTATTTTGTTCGCGAATGTGTGCCAACTAAACAACTGGTGGTTAATTTTGTTCCTAGTAGTGAGCATGCAGCTGACATTTTGACTAAACCTGTGCTAAGGGCTTCTTTTCCTCATCTTCGGTTTCAGTTTGGTGTAAAGCCTTATGAAGAAGTTCAAACAAGTTTTAGCAAGGAAAAACCAGGAGAATATTAGAGTATTCTAATAGAAAAACCTAGAGAGTGTTAGATAAGGGGAAGTCTCACGTGCGGCAGCCTAATATACGGTTAAGGAAAAAAGCTAACGAAAATGTTATTATTTTTTAACATTTCCGGTAAAAAAATTACCGGAAACATTATTATTTCTATCGGAAATGTTATTATTGGGCGCTTTACCGGATTTATTAACATATCCGATAAAATGCTACCTAAAACATTATTTTTTCTGCCGGAAATATTGATATTGGACACTTTACCGGAAATGATAAAAAACATTAATATTTTAGGTAAAAAAAATAATGTTTTAGATAATTTTTTACAGAAAATATTAAAATAATAATAACATTTCTAATAACATATTTCCTTAGCCGTATATTAAAGCTTCTGCACAGTAAAACTTACCGTTAAATAATGTACTGTTATAAGTAACCCTTGAGTTAGTTATGAGTTAGTTGGGTTGTTAGACCCTTTGTGGGATATATAAACAAGCCTATTGTACTCGGCTTTCTTAGACTTGTTTTGTATTGTTTCTCAGTATTACTCATTTTCTTTCCATCTCCCTTAAGTGTTCTTATCCATTTACATCAAGCTTCTTTTTCAATCTCTAATGATTACACAGATTACTTCTTACACTCGTCTGACAAGCACACTTATTTTTGGGATACTATTATACTAATATTTGAATGCAGGCAGATGAAACATAGCTTTTTTTTTATCCCACTTTCATTGCATAAGCATAAAGTAAAAGGCACCCCTAGCATTTCAATTACCAACATGATACAAAGAAGACTCGAGCGTCTTCTTCCATTCTTCATTTCGAAAACAAAAACTAAGGCTAGTTCGAATATGGAACTGCCAGATGACTGAAGAATAATGCTTAGCAGTATCATAGCTGACAAACACAAACATGAACCAAGCTATGAACATATATGTAACTAAAACATCCCAAAGCAAAGCACATACATTTTGCAAGTAAAATGTTGGAACAAATCAGATATCCATAAATGCTCGGCAAGTGATCGAATAAGACTAAGAAAATGTGGGTTTCAACCAATGAATATTGCACAAACTGAACCAACAAAACATGCATATTGACTTATGTTCTCGCCTAAAGTATGCTCTGAACATCATGAAAGACATCAAATTCATGGAACAATACTGCCAACCAAAACACAAATGAGAGGAAACTTAGCGTTTCCCACTGTTTGGATTTGATTTGGTGCAAAGAATCTTCCGGCCCTTAGCACGTCTGCGTTTGAGAATAGCTCTCCCGCTGGTGGTTCTCATTCTTCGACGAAATCCATGAGTTCGAGCCAAAGATTTGCGAGACCTGTTCCGTTTGGTTTGACAAAGAGCAGCCTTTCCGGCCCTAACCACCAAGCCTCGTCTTTTCTCATTCTTCACCCCATTGCTTGAACCAAAATCAGTCCCCAAAGATAACCCTACCAACAAAATTCGAAATTAATAACCCATCCAAAGAAATCATTAAAGAAACAGAATGGGAAGTTTGTTTTACCTGAAAAGGAAGAAGGGAAAGAGAGGGATGAGGAGGAAGAAGCGAGAAAGGAGCAGTGAAGAAGGGAAGAGCGAGCTTTGGGGTTGATTGCTGCTGCATTGGGAGAGATGGAGATTGTTCTTCTTGAGCATGTTGAGAGAGATAGAGAAGCCGAGGGGAGTTGAGTTCTTATGGAATTAGTAGTGAGACAGTGAGGCGATGTTATTAGAGACATTGAAGCCATTGTTCTCTCTGGTTTTCAACTTCCTTTTCTAATCCGGATATCGTTTAGAGCTACACTGTCTCTGCTTCAAATGGCTTCGGATAGATATGAAACGTGATGGGTCGGGTAGAGAGATTGAATTCAACTTGTTGCTCAACCCAATCTGAGAATGAACCAAACTTGTTGCTCAGCCCTATACATTGTACTAAGTTTGATACTGCCAGCTGTGGGTGGCTAACAACTTGATCGTTATAGGAATATTCTCCATGTCACTCTCCAGATTTGGGCTTCTTCAGGTAAGGTGTTGACCCATTCTTCGTAGCATATTTTAATCCATATTCTATCTTCATAACGATTTCGTTTACGTTATTCCTTTCAACGTCATCGTTTCTTGTAATAACATCCGTATCCTATTTGACTTGGGCTTCCCATTTCTTCCCAGAATTCCTAATTCTTTCAGCCTCAAATCCCTTACTCCACTTGACGAACCCTAATCATGCACCATTTTCCCCAATTTTCCATCTAGCATCATAACACAAAGTGTTAGAATTTTTTTAGGGAGTAGTTGTATTGTTAATTGGTTATTAGTTTGTTAATCACAATTGAAATAATTTTGAGTATAAGAATCTACTAATATAAGGGGACAATTGATCAAGTACTTTACATTATATTTCAATAGAAATTTCACATTTATTCTCACTTCTTTTATTCATTTAACTAGATCATATATCTAAATAATATCTATTGCTACTACGCAACCACATATTCTCTTTTGTTATTCACATTCAACTTTCGTCCGACAATCGTGTAGTCTTTTTCGATATCATTTACCAACGATCTTAAAGTTATTTTTCTTCTTTTTCATTCTTTATTTAACTAACACTTTTTGTACTCTTTTTCACTCTTATTATAATGATAAAACTCACTCCTATTTATAGATTTTAATGACTATTAGATTGTTGACATATGTCAAACACCTTAACCATTTAACATTACAAATATCTAGATTCTTTTAATAGATAATTTTATATATAATATTAAATATTATAAATATCTAAATTATTTTATAAATATTTTTAAACATTTGTTATTTCTGTTGAAAACATTTTGATATTTCGATATAACAAATTAAGTTAAATGTATTTTAAGATTTTCCAAAAAGATTTTCTATGTATATTCAATATAATTATTCGAATATCAAAATATTACTCAAAATCTTTCAAATGTCATTTTTAATCCTTACTCAAGTGTAAAATTAAGTTTTAATCTTAAAATAATTTCAAAACGATTTCATAAAATATTTCGAACCATTTCAAAGCCAAAAAATCCAGATTGCTCAGAGGGAACCGATTCCCCCCAAGGGGGTACCGATTCCCCCCTGAATGGTTTGGCTCCGAGAATTCCAGTATGCTCGGAGGGAACCGATTCCCCCCAGGGGTACCGATTCCCCCACTGTTCAATGGTCGAAATATTTGAATTTTATACCTAGGGAACCGATTCCCCATTAGGGGTAGCGATTCCCCCCACGCTCCAAGCAGAAACATTAATTGTTTTCACACTTAAACGGCTCTAAAAACTTCATTAATGATCCCCAACGTTCAGAAGTGATTCAAGGTATATTTAAGCAAGCTTAGAAGCCATTGATCAAGAACAAGAAACAACAAGCAACTAGAATCAAGAGAGAATCAAAGAGAAAACATCAAACCTCAAGTTTGAGCATTTCAAGCCTATTTTTCATTCATTATTCATTTTGCTTTCAAGAACACTTATTGTGCTCAATTGTATTCATTCTTGAGTGTTCTTTTCTTTGTTCTAGAATTGTGTAAACAATCTACCTTGTGAGGATTTCCTTGTAAGTTTGCAAATTTGTATTGTTCTCTTTGGGAGAGAGTGTTCTCAAGAATTTGGGGTATAATTCTTGAGGGTTTGTAAGGTTACTCTTTGTCCTCAAAAGAAAGACAAATTAGTGAATTTGTGGAAAATCCTTAGTGTGGATAGCTAAGGTAGTGGACGTAGACTTTGGTTGAGAAAGTCGAACCACTCTAAATCGCTGTGCAATTACTTTTAATTTTCTGCAAAAGCTTCCACCAAATTTTTAATTGCCAATTCAACCCCTCTTGGCCGATTCCGTCAATCGATTAACTCAACAATTGGCATCAGAGCCTAACTCATTTGAAGGTTTAATCGCCTCTTGAGTCGATTCGGGAAGAGTTACATCGATAATCAAAGTCATTAATGGCCTCTGCTTCAAACTTCGACTCCGGTCTCGATTCGATACCCGTCAACAAGCCTCATTTCTTCAATGGGGCTAACTATGCTTATTGGAAAAATAGGATGATGTACTTCCTTCAAGCAAGTGACATGGGAGCATGGAATGTCGTAGTAGAAGGATACATCAAGCCTCTCACTCATCCAAGATTATGGAGTGAAGAAGAGACAAAAATGTTCTAGCTCAACTCCAAAGCTATCCATATCATATTTTGTGCTCTTGGACCAGATGAATACGGAAGAGTTTTATCTTGTAAAACCGCCAAAGAAATATGGGACAAACTTCAAGTCATTCATGAGGGTACCGATGAGGTAAATAAATCTAAAATTAGTATTCTAACGCATAGCTATGAAAATTTCAGGATGAAACTAAATGAAGATATCAAAGCTATGACGGATAGATTCTCAACGATTTTCAATGGTCTCAAATCATATGGAGAGATCATTTCAAATGAAAAGCTTGTGAGGAAGTTAGTCTAGTCCCTCCCAAAATCGTGGCAATTAAAGAAGACGACAATCATCGAGTCTAAGGATCTAACGTCCTTAACTCTTGAAGAGCTAATCGGTTCACTCCTCACTCATGAAATAATGCTTGAAGATAAGATTGAAGAGACACCAAAGGAGAATGAGAAGAAGAAAAACATTGGAGTTGCTCTCAAATCCACAAAAGATGAGAGTAATTCGGATGAAGATGATGATAACGAGGAAATGGCATTGTTTGCCAAACGGTTCAGAAAAATGATGAGACCTTACTGAGGAAGAAAATTCAAACGAAATGAAGGCCTAAAAAATGAACCAAAAGAGAAGGACCCGATCATTTGCTATGAATGCAAAAAGCCAGGGCATGTCAAATATGATTGCCCACAATTGAAGAGAAATGGTCAATCAAAGAATAAGCACAAGGCTCATGTGGCTACATGGAGCGATGAAGAAGGTTCCGATGAAGAGGAACAAGAAGTAGCAAACTTGTGCTTGATGGCATTCGGGGAAGATTCTAAGGTAACCTCTAACTCATCTGATTTTGATGATTTATCCTATGATGAGTTATTAGAGGAATATAATGGGTTGACTTCGGATTATGAGAAATTGTTTTTAAAATATAAAAATGATGTTTCAAAATTGAAAAATGAAAATAAACTCATGTCCAAAACCAACAACGATCTTGAAAGTAAAGTCAAAGATTTATAAATCAAACTAGAAGAGTTTGAAAAGAAAATTTTGGATTTGCAAAATTTACTTTCAAAGGTCAATGATGATCATCAAAAGAAAATTGATGATCTTAAAGCCTCTTTTGATAAAGTTGGAACAAAACGTTTTGAAAAATGGAGAAAATTCAAAATCCAACTTTGTTAGAAAAAGTTTTAAAAACTACAATCATAGAGGTCCCCAAATAACCTCTAATGGAAAAATCGTTAGAAGTATATGGGTTCCTAAAGAGCTCATTACTACTAAAGATAAGGATATCCTACACAAATGGATACCTAAGGGGACTAGGATTTTGGAAACTAATGAATATGGACCCAAAAGAATTTGGGTACCAAAAATTAGAAATTAATCTATGTTTCTAGGAAAATGAGCATTGCTACAAGGCACAGGAAACAAATCCAAATTCATGGTACCTTGATAGTGGATGCTCAAGACACATGACAGGAGACAAAAACCGGTTCATTGAGCTTAACGCCAAAAATGGAGGAGAAGTGACTTTTGGTGATGATTCAAAAGGTCACATTGAAGGTATTGGTACTATTGGTAATACCTCTTCCATACAAATTAAGAATGTTTTATATGTGAAAGGATTAAAGCATAATTTATTGAGTATTAGTCAATTTTATGATAAGGGATTCAATGTCATGTTTGATATTAATGGTTGTAAAGTCATTGACATTGCATCTAATCAGATTATGCTTGTTGGTCATAGAATAGGAAACATATACATGGTGCATTTAGATTCTATTGATATGACTAATTTGTGGTTAGTTGCTAAGGATGAACATGATAGTTGGTTATGGCATAGGAGACTAGGACATGCTAGTATGAGTGTTTTGCAACGGCTAATTCAAGGTGATTTAGTTCGAGGGTTGCCTAAGCTTAAATTTGATAATGATAAAATCTGTGATGCTTGTGCTAAAGGAAAACAAAAGCAAGTTTCTTTTAAATCCATTAATGACGTATCAACTAGTAGAGTATTACAATTGATCCATATAGATCTTTTTGGGCCAACTAGGACTACTAGCTTGGATGGAAAACAATATGCATTTGTCTTGGTAGATGACTATTCTAGATATACTTGGGTTCTATTCTTAAGTACTAAAGATGAAGCATTAGAAAAATTCATCAAGTTTTCAAAAGTAATCCAAAACGATAAAGGTTACTCTATAACTAGTGTTAGGAGTGATCATGGCACTGAATTTAAAAATCTTGGATTTACTGAGTTTTGTAATTCTAATGGTATTAGTCACAATTTTTCAGCACTTAGAACCCCTCAACAAAATGGAGTTGTTGAGAGGAAAAATCGAACTTTAGAAGAAATGGCTAGAACCATGCTTTGTGAAAATAATTTGCCAAAATATTTTTGGACGGAAGCCACAAATACCGCTTGTTATGTTGTAAATCGAGTAATGATTAGGCCTATTTTTAAAGAAAACTCCATATGAAATTTTCAAAAATAAAAAGCCTAACATTAGCTATTTTCATCCTTTTAGATGTAAATGTTTTGTTTTAAACAACGGTAAAGAAAACCTTGGCAAATTTGATGCTAAAAGTGATGAAAGAATTTTTCTGGGTTATTCCTTAAATTCTAAAGCTTATCGAGTATTTAATAAAAGAACTTTAGTTGTAAAAGAGTCTATACATGTTGTTTTCGATGATAATCCCCTTC